CTCACGATCCATCGCTCCGTAGCTGGTCGCTCCCCCCAGGTCAAGCGTCTGTGTGTCCTCCTTGATAGCATTCTTACCTTCCACTCACATATCAACACCATCACCCGCACTGCCTATTTCCACCTCCGCAACGTTACCAGACTTCGCCCTTCCCTCACCCCCCGTACCACTGCCATTCTGGTCCATAGTCTTGTCACATCCCGCCTTGATTACTGTAACGCTCTCCTCTTCGGCCTACCTCAAAAGTCCCTCCATAAAATCCAGCTGGTTCAAAACGCTTCCGCTCGCATCATCACAAAAACATCCTCCCAGCAGCACATCACCCCCGTTCTCCAACAGCTTCACTGGCTCCCTGTTCAACATCGCATCAACTACAAACTGCTCCTTTATACATATATGGCCATTCACAACCTGGCCCCTCCCTACCTGTCCGACCTTCTCCAGGTGCATACCCCCACTCGCTCCCTCAGATCCTCGTCTTCCCTCCGCCTGTCAGTGCCTCCTGCCCGCCTGAGCACCATGGGAGCCAGAGCCTTCAGTCGCGCTGCCCCAAAGCTTTGGAACAATCTACCTCCGGACCTTCAAAACTGCACACCTCTCTCCACTTTCAAGTCCCGTCTAAAAACACACCTGTTCAGGATTGCTTACAATACATAGCCCTTCCATCTCCTATATCTTATGATTTTATGTCTTGTTTTTATAATATCTTGCTTAACAATTTTTACATTGTATTTTTTATTGTCTGTACAGTGTCCTTGGGTGGCATGAAAGGCGCTTTTAAATAAAATGCATTATTATTATTATTATTATTATAGCTCACAACTTTTTTCTTTTTTTTTTGCTGAAAACACTGATCAGTGCGCATTTTACACGAGGATTCCTGTATGGGTTAACGAGAGCCTTTGAGTGCTACTCGAAGATAAACCTTTAAAGCGAAAATTAACAATTGCCTTCATAGCAATTAAATGTGCATGTGATGCTTCTCGCAGACTCATTGGTACAACCGTACATCACACAACTGTGGCATTTTCGCTGTGGAGCAAGTAGATAACATGAAAATCACATATTAGAAATCCTTGTATTCAAAATAGACGGGATTCGCGAATAGCAATGGAAGGTGTCTACTAGTAGCTTCACTTCTCGCAACAGCGAGTAAGCGCTATTGTTAGTCTTTTGATATAAGTCCGTGGTGAGAGCCATACATGGCTTTCACTGTGATTGACTGTTAATCAGATGGCACAGCGGACGGGCCAATCCTGGAGAGGTGTCATAGCAGACAGCAAGGCATGCTGTGCCTACACCAGAGGCAAAATAAGACAATTTTTAATTGATCACTTATCGTCCATCGATTAAGGTTGGAGTGCCCTCTGCGGATAGGCGATGAGATCCTGCCTCAAATGGAGGTGTTCATGTATCTTGAGGTCTTGTTCACAAGTGGGGGCAAAATAAGAGTGGAAGATCAACCGGCAGGTCGGTGCAGCGTATGCAATGATGCAGACTCTGGATCGCTCTGACGTGGTAAGGAGGAGCTGAGCCGAAAATCTAGATTCACTCGCCGATCGACATTCTTACCCTCACCTCATGGTGAGGGTACGAGCACCATGACCGAAAGTACCGTATTGGCCCGAATATAAGACAGCCCTGATTATAAGACGACACCCTCTTTTTCAAGACTCAAGTTTGAAAAAAGACTTTTTGAACACCAACTTAATTTTTATACAGAAAATAATTACAGTACATCTGAAACAAATGATTATAACAATATATTTGAGAGAAAAAGCATGTTATTTTGCCTCATTCAAATCAAAAGTGCAATCACATTTGGAAATGAATGGCTTCTGGTTTTTGAAATGTATAAGCGTGTATATATGTATGTATACACGCGTTTTCTTTCACACAACAGAATCTCATGGATTGGTGACAGTATATCAGCTTTTGTTTCATTAAAAGTCCCAGATTTCACACAAACTAAGTTGAGAAGAGTTCATTATTTCAGAATTCAACCTTTCTTTGTAACATTTGTTTGGACGTGTGCCATGAGATTTATCTCATTTAAAATGGGGAGCTTGGCGTAACTTCAAACATGGTTTGAAAACGCTACACTATGATTTGTGTAGATAAAGATATTGTGGTTTCTCGAAGACCAGGCACCAGGGAAGGACTTATGGGCAATCAAGTCACTGCTGATGGAGGCTTTTACAAAGTACAGTGAAACTCCTCTACAACGAAATCATGTTTGCACCAAGAATTTTTTCGCAACAGGGGGTTTTTCACTGTAGCAAATTTGATCTCAGATGTAAAAACACACACACACACACACACACACACACACACACACACACACACACACACGCACAGAACAA